GTAGTGGTGGTAGGAAGCAGTAGGAGAAGTCGTCGTCGTAGCAGGAGTAGTATAGCAGGAGTAATAGTAGTAGGAGGAGAAGGAGGACGTGGAGGAGGACGAGGAGGAGGAGGACAAGGAGGTGAACGGAGCGGCGCTGCGCTCTCGGCCGCCCTCGCCTCGCACGGCCGAACCGATGCTTGCACCCCCCCTCCCCTTTTCTGCGCAAGCCAGGACGAGGACAACATCGGGCGAAGATGGACCGAGAATCTCTGACGTCCAGCGGCTCTCAGAGGATGCCTCGGGCGCCGCGGCCTTCTTAGAGCATTCCGGAATGCTCTCAGAACGCTCCAGAACGCTCAGGAACGGATTTATCCTCGTCCCAGCCCCTTCCGATCTTACCCCCCCGCATTTTTGTTGGCTGGAGCGCGCCCTTGTCCAGGTTGCGGAAGCGCGAAACAGGTCCACGTCGCTTTTCGCCTCTTGCTCCTGCCCGCCTGGGCAGATTCTGCTATCGGCCCAACCGCCGTGCCCAGACCCAGAAGCTCCATCTAGAAGGCGGAGAGAGCGTCAGGCACGTAGACGTGCACATAGCCAATCATGTGCGCACCGCGAGTGCGATGCGTGATCGCTTGAACACCAGAAGCCCAGGCCTCTCCATTATGCCCGCCACCCGGAAACATTTGCAAAGTTTCGCCGCTGGCGATCGCTCGCCGAACGATGTCGGCATTTAGGCCCCTACCGTTGCTCTGCGCAGACATGGCAAGGTTGACGAGGTAATATGTTCCAGTATTCCATTCGCGTGGCCTCCAAACTACTGGTTCGAGATATCCCCCCTTGCACCCGAATGCGCTAGTGGAGCAGTCGGCGAGGCATGCGCGGATCTGTCGAACGCAGGGGAGGTAGAAGGGATCACTGACAACCACTGTGGGATTTGCCATGCCAGCGACGCACTGATTGTCCACGACGAACTCTAACTGCAATTTGTCCCCGGTTGAATGGTGCAAGCAATCTCGGCGCGTGGTGGGGGGCGCTGGGGTGGCGTCCACACTGCAAACGATGTCAAGATCGTTTCTGTCCAGCTTGCTGTCCGGGCCCCCTGGCGGGCGGGCCTGAAATTGCGGGGGCGTCGGTAGATTCCGGGCCATGCGCGCCTCTGTCGCGAAACCATCCCAGCGATCATGCCACTCCGTCAGAGATGGACAAGACTCAGAATGTCGCGCCAATCTAAACCGTGGACTTTAACCATCAGCTCGTCGACGTTGGATTGCGCTCCGCGGTGGGCATGTGTAATATCCTCTCTTTTACGCTTAGAAAAAACAGACGGAAATTGATTTCGCGGTTTCCCACCGCATGGCGCCCCGTTCATGGCGCACTGCTCCCGCCGTTGCCCCATGCGTCCTCTCTTGCCGCAGAAAAGAATGGTAGCGCTCCAAGATGACGAAGCGCATTGGCTTCTGCTTGCCATGCATGAACCAACGCTCCAACTTCGAACCAGTTAGTTGATTGTAGAGCATAGCACCCTCGTCAGGTCGACGGCGCACCCGGAAAACTCGTCGTAACTTCCGGCGTTCCCGTCGAGCCATCTCGCGCACAAAGGCTTCCTGTCCACTGCGTCGTCTGGCAGAGGAACAAGGCGCTGGCGCGTGGCCGCGTAGCAAACGCCTGCAATTTTAAACTGACTGGCGCCTCCCCTACGAGGTGCTTCCGAAATTTATGAAAGCCCGATCGGCTTTTCTAGCCGGCAGCGGAGAAGCGCGTCGCCCGGTCGAGCTTTACACGCTAATCCCCCGGGCGCAACCATCGCGTCGACAGCGGCGTAGGCAAGCGATTCCGAGCCTATGTCCACGCCGACCTTTTCTGAATCACGCACGGCTTCTGACGCGCGTAAGCCTCCGGCGAACTGGGCTTCCATCGCCGGCCGCGTCGCCGCCAAAGTGCCGATGTCAAAGACGTGGGCATGAAAACAAACTGGTCGAGGCCAGCTGCGCAAAGGAAACAAGTGTCCACCCGCGTTATTCAGGCGACCCTGTCCCCGGAGTCCGGCAATGCGAACCCGGGGCCGAGTCTGGCCCGCCCCTCGAGGCGAGCGAACACTCCGTCAAACATACGGACAAAAATATCAGGATCGCGTCGCCTTCCCGTCTTCAGAGCCTTCGTCGTCGGACGCGGTGGCGTCTTCGCAGTGCATGCAATGCCACCTGGGGCCCGCGCGCGTCTCCGGCGAGTGCTATAACTTGACGCGGGCGCCCTCCGGTTCGCCGTGGACAGTGAATGGCTTCAACGCGCTCGACTGAATCATTGGCGGTCGCCACACCCCGCGCCCCTAAAATCAACGAGGCCCCCCGCTTGACGGAAGAAGAACCTCGAGCGCAGCCCCAAAATAATCCCCCACCCAAGCGCCCCTGTTGTATCCGAAACTGATCCACGCGGGCAGCGGCCGTAAGATAGGCGCCACCACGCTATAAACAATAACGCTGAACTGCTCGGACACCTGATCCATGATGCCGAGCCATCTGCGACGAGAAAAACTGCGAGGCTGTGCTCCCGTAGCAATCCCCAATAAAACCAGACTATGTTGCGACATCCGGCAAAGACCAAATAATATCCCGGATCCGCTCAACGAAGACCTCGTGCAGGCGCACTTTGAAAGAATGCGGCGCGCGCCTCCAAACATCTCCTGGAATGTTGTCCATGCCCGGCTTCGAATGGTCTTTTACATGGGTTAGCTGATCTAGAGAATCCACGACGCGAGGAAGTCCCAGCGGGAGATCGTCCAGGACACGGGAATGAGCTTCTGCTTTCAACTTGTTTACTTCGATTGCGAGACGCCGCTGATGGGCAGGGTCCGCAGTAAACTTGCGCTCCGCCACTTTGGAAAGGGCGCCCCGCCAGTTGCCGCGGTCGCCGTCTCTTCGCCATCCACGTGCGACACCGCGTGTGGATGTGCATCTCAGATCATTGACGTCCACGCGAGTCTCTCCAAAACTGCCTTGTTGTGTTGTCGTCGCCGTGTTCCGCGAGGTTGACGGTTGCGCGCAACTTTCCGCCTCTTGCGGGAGTGAACTGCCGCGCCAGCCGCACTAGCATCCGCCTGGAAAATGTCATGCACAAACCACAACATGAATACAATGAGCCAGATCCCCATCCACGTTGAAAGCATCTACCCCCCTTTTCCAGTATGCGGCTTTCTCAGGGAGGCCTTCAAAACGACAGTATCGTAACAGTCGGTCACGTTCGCTCGCCACTTGCCGCGGTCCCACAAGCGCATGCTGTAAGTGAGGTCGCTCGCCACAGGAATATTATGTGATCTCCGCAACTCTGGAGTAACGTCGGCATCGACACTCACGTCTGGACGAGGGTCTCCGCATACACTGCGTGCGGAACATACGAAACCAATCTGCGAATTCGTGCGAAAAGATCGCTTTTCGGCCGACTTTCGTGTACCAAAAAAAAACTCAGGTCGGGCACGTTCTGCGTAGGTGTTGTCCGCTATAAAGTCGGCGTTCGCCAAACATGCTCCCAAACAGTTTGTCTTGTGTAGGCGATGTGAAACACGAAGCCGCGCACAATACGAACCAAATGCACGATCTGACGTGCCCGGGCGAAGTATTAGCATCGATGCCAAATACGACAACTGGTATGGACACTTGCTTACGGATGAGATCCTTTGGGATGTTCACGGAATGCAGAACTGCGTTCAAAGTGTCGCTCGAAGCAAACCGGTCCTGATAATGGTCTACGACATGGATAGAAGCAACAGGTATAGAATGAATAGTCACAACGCTGAAATAATTTAAATGCTCTTCCCATTTGACAGCTGGCAAAAACTCCTTCGGCAGGACAATGCCGCAATCGCATCCAACCATGGTCCTCACAGACAGACGCGATGAACTGCAGCCCCCCACCTCGAGATCTCCTGCAAAACACCAGAAGAACTATTCCCATATCGTTTCCGGAAATCTTTGAGAACATGGTTCGCCCTGGAGAAAGGCCTCTTCTGTGCATTCCAGGCTGCGAATTAAATTCGATCGTGCAACATGTGTTTCTGGGCATTCAGATCCCCACCCTCGCCGCCATCCGAAATGGCCACTCCGCTGCTCGGAAACATACCGGGACGGTGTGCTCAGCCGAATGTAAAACCGACGCGTGGCGTGGTTCAATTGATTGTGACGCTGGCTAATGTTATCCCGTCTGGTAACCTGCGCGGAAAGTATGAAGTCTGTATCCCGCAACCTCTGTTGCAGGGGTTCCATATGTGCTCGGATAGCAGACTGCAGTGCCGACCTGAGACGCTCGGCCAGAGGGCCGAAGGCAGCCAAGATCGATTGTTCGGCCTCTCGTAACTCCGATCGGAGATTCGATAAGTCTGCGAAACCCGTTTCGACTGTGCCTGTAAATCCTCCGCATCGCGCGAAGGATCCTCCATCTCGATTGTGTCGCTCTGGACAAGGATAAAAATGGCATGAAATAATCAAACACCGGCATCAATAAGAGACATCGTGCCCTCGCCTGGTCAATGCAAGGCGCTATCCATGGCGGCCGGCCGGCCGGCGCGGCAGAGACAGCGCTGCTGCACCTTGAGCCGAAGTGGCTTGAGCCAAAGTGGCTTGAGCCAAAATGGTTTGCACCTTCTTTCCCTCCTGCCTCATTTATCCTCCCTGCTGCCCCGTCCTGCCTCGTGCTGCCTCGTCCTCCCTCTCCTCCTCCTCTTCCTCCGTCGTCGTCGTCTCGTCGTCGTCGTCGCCGTCGTCGTCGTTGTCATCGTCGTCTTCGTCGTCGTTGTCGTCGTCGTCGTCGTAGTATCCGCCGTCGTCGTCGCGGTCCCGCGCACTCCTCCTCCGCCTCCTCCTCCGCCTCCTCCTCCACCTCCTCCCTCTCATTCTTCCTCCTCCGCCTCCTCCTCCTCCTCCTCCTCCTGTTCTCTCTCCTTCCCCCCCTCTCCCCTCAACCCCTGCGTGCGGCTTCTAGACAGGCTCGGCTCGCCCAGGTCGCCTTGCGAAGGATGGGCCTCTCCGGCCCTATCGCCTCAAGACGGGGTCTGCGGCGGAGGCCACGCCTGGGGCGGTGCCCTCTGCGGCGGAGGCCACCTCCACGGCGGAACCCTCCGGCGTGCGCGGCCTGCCCTGGCCCCCCGTCGCCGTGCCTGACGGCTCGGGCCTCGTCGGCCGGCGGAAGATGGGCCTCTCCAGCCCCGCCCGGCCCACAGCCTCGGAGCTGGGCCCGCGGCGGAGTCGGTCGCAGGCGCGTGGCTCTCTGGCGACCGCGACTCGTTGCCCGGGTTCCTCGCCCTCGCCGCCGTGCAGGGCGGCCCGGGCCCGGTGGATGGCCTCCGTCGCGGCCGCCTGCTCCTGGGCGTACGCCGTCCGGCGCCTCCAGCGCCGCAGGCGCGCGTCCAGCGCGCACGCAAAGGCTTCCGGCACCTCGTCCTCGGGGACCTCGTCGATGCGGTCGTCCAGAGTGTCCCTGCCGTCGCTCGCCCGTGCCGCCGGCAGTGCGGGCCTGTGCTCGTCGAGCGCCGCGGCCAGCGCGTCGGCGCGCGCACCGAAGGGCGCCGAGCGCTGGGGGCGCCCGTGCCGCGCAGGGCGCAGGGCGGCGTAGCCGCCGAGCTCGGCCAGCTCACAGGGCAGGCCGTCCATGATCCCGGTGGCGGTCGAGAGCTTCTGCTTCGGGGATGGACAGACCCCCCTTAAGCAAAGCGTGGTTTAGTGAAAACGACCTGAGGCCCAAACCTGGCGGGCGCAAGCCTGGAAAAAAACGGCCACGGCGCCCTCTCGAGAACCGAAAACGGACAATTCACTAATCGACGTGTCACTGTTGGGGGCTCTGTCCACCCCCGACTGCTCAGAGTGTCGCGGCGGCGGCCCCTGCGGCACGCTGTGCCCTGCGAGCTGGCAGCGTGCCGCGCCGCGCCGCGGGGCGGGGGGGAGTGGGCAGAGCTCGGGGCGTGGACGCTCGGGGACTGGGAGGTGGCTCGCGTGTCGCGCCGAAGCGTGGCGGGCCAGAGCCGGCACCGCGACACACTGAGCACAACCCTGACCTTCCAGGAGGGCTTAACAAATAGCACCAGGACGTCGACGTCCTAATTCCTGCCGAGGTTTGAGGCAGTCCAGATCGATCTATAGGTCGGGAGTGCTATTTTGTAGCACTCTGGAAGGTCAGGGAAGCGCCCGAGCGTGGGCCAGAACACTTACACACCAACAGCGTGCAGGCATGCCGCGCCGGGCAGAGCGGCTTCGGCCAAACTGGCTGCGCATCGCTGCAGATCTGTGCCGGATTTGCGCCCAGCGCTCAAACGCGTACCTGCTCGCTGCCGTGCGTACAACCACGATCGAACATCGTGCTGGTTCACATCACGCATCTTGGCCAAGCCATTTGAAAGGAGGGCGGCAAACACAGATACACTCCAGACCTAAGCCGAGGAGTACTTGTTGGGACTGACGAGGTACCTTCCCAAAGCGAATGCATACCTTACAAACTCGGCCGCAAGACACATCGCACGATATCCAACCTTGAAAGCACGCGCGCGACATGCAAATGGGGGTATCCGTAGCGCCACGAAGGCAACAGTGTCACATGCAACCGGTGGGGGACCCATAGCACCCTGAAAGCAACAATGTCTTTCACGGTCGTAAGAAATCACCGCGCAACGTGCGGAATGGATAAGCCCGAGGTAATTTTCCGGACGAAAATTATCAAAGTTCTTGAAACATCTGGTTATAGCTCGGCTCTCCAGCGGCCCTTCGGGACGGTTCTGGTACTTCTGGAACGCCCTCGGCAGGGCGCGGCTGATGGAATCCAGCCCGTGCCCCGAACACTTGGGACAACTTCCGGAAACGGGAGGCGCTCTCACGAAAATTTCGAGGCGGATCCATCTGTGGCCAAGAGGGTGCCCCAGGAGGATCCAAAAAACGCAGCAGCGACAGCGACGACGAGGAGGAGGAGGAGGAGGAGGAGGAGGAGGAGGAGGAGGAGGAGGAGGAGGAGGGAGGGGGGAGGAGGAGGAGGAGGAGGAGGGAGGAGGAGGAAAGGGAGGAGGAGGAGGAGGCGGAGGAAAGGGAGGAGGAGAAGGATGAGGAAGAAAGCGCACCTCGAAGCCCGAACCCCGATCCTTCCCTGCCGGCACCCCTCCGCCCTCACTTCCCTCTTGGGGCCCGCCTGCCTCCACTTCTTCTTCGCCGCCGCGTGATTATCCTCCTTGGTCCTCCTCCTCCTCCTTCCTCCTCCCTCCTCCTCGCTCTCTCCTCTCCTCGCTCCTCCTCCTCCTCTCTCCTCCTCATCCTCCTCCTCCTCCTCTCGCTCCTTCTCCTCCTCCTCCTCTTCATCCGATCCCCCCCCCCCCTGGCATCCGCCGATTCCATCCATCCGCGGCCCCGGAGGTCCCGGCCGCCTCCCCGAGGGTAACTTTGCGCCCCGGGCCCACTTCTGATGGCCCCGCGGGGCCCGGCACCGGCCCCCGGAGGCCGACATCTCGGAGGAACACGCCGGGTCCGAACACGTTGCGCCGTCGGAGCTCCTGGTCCTCCTCCGGCCCATCCCCTGTCGTTGCCCCTGAGGCCCCCCCCCCCGTCCTTCTCTGACGGCCCCTGCGAATACGAAGCTCCGGGTTCTCCTCCGGTCCACCCCCTATCGTTGCCCCTGAGGCCCGCCCTCGGGCGCGGCCTAACCGACCCAAAGCAAACAATTCCCTTCTGTGACGTCATTCTCGCCTTTCGAACTTCCCTCTGGCCGCACACATCCGTCTCGGGGCGAGGCGTTGCAGACGTCGCGAAAGGGGATGGCTTGCTTGGGGATCGGTTAGGCCACCACTGACCCCCTGTCGTGGCCCTGTGATTCCCCCTGAGGCCCCCGCCAGGAGGAGGAGGAGGAGGAGGAGGATGAGGCGGAGGAGGAAGAGGAAAAGGAGGATGATGATGAGGAGGAGGAGAAGGCGGAGGAAGAGAGGAGGAGGAGGAGGAGGGAAAGGAGGGGGAGGAGGAGGAGGAGAAGGAGAAGGAGGAGGAGGAGGAGGAAGAGGAAGGAGGAGGGGAAGGAGGAGAAGGAGGAGGCGGAGGAGGAGGAGGAGCAGGAGCAGGAAGAGGAGGAGGGGGAGGGGAAAGGAGTAGTAGTAGTAGTAGTAGAGTAGTAGTAGTAGTAGTAGTAGTAGTAGTAGTAGTAGTAGTAGTAGTAGTAGTAGTAGTAGTAGTAGTAGTAGTAGTAGTAGTAGTAGTAGTAGTAGTAGTAGTAGTAGTAGTCGTAGTAGTAGTAGTATAGTTAGTAGTAGTAGTAGTAGTAGTAGTAGTAGTAGCAGTAGTAGTAGTAGTAGTAGTAGTAGTAGTAGTAGTAGTAGTAGTAGTAGTAGTAGTAGTAGTAGTAGTAGTAGTAGTAGTAGTAGTAGTAGTAGTAGTAGTAGTAGTAGTAGTAGTAGTAGTAGTAGTAGTGGTAATAGTAGTAGTGGTAGTAGTAATCGTAGTAGTCATCGTAGTATCAGTAGTAGCCGTAGCCGTAGTCGAGGTGGTCCTAGTAGTAGTAGTAGTAGTAGTAGTAGTAGTAGTAGTAGTAGTAGTAGTAGTAGTAGTAGTAGTAGTAGTAGTAGTAGTCGTAGTAGTAGTAGTAGTAGTAGTAGTAGTAGTAGCGTAGTAGTAGTAGTAGTAGTAGTAGTAGTAGTAGTAGTAGTAGTAGTAGTAGTAACAGAGTAGGAACAGCAAACAGCAAACAGTAAAAGTTAGTAGTGAAGAAGTAGTAGTAGAAGTAGTAGTAGTAGTAGTAGTATTTAGTAGTAGTAGGAGTAGTACTAGTAGACGTACAGACGTAGTCGTAGTGCAGTAGTTAGCAGTAGTAGTAGTAGTAGTCGTAGTAGTAGTAGTAGTCGTCGTTCGGTCGTCGTCGTCGTCGTCGTCGTCGTCAGTCGTCGTCGTCGTCGTTCGTAGTTAGTGTAGTAGTAGTAGTAGTAGTAGTAGTCAGTAGTAGTAGTAAGTAGTAGTAGTAGTAGTAGTAGTAGAGTAGTAGTAGTAGGTAGCAGGAGTAGTAGTAGTAGTAGTAGTAGTAATAGTTTGGTCGTACTTGTAAGTAGTTGTACTAGTAGTCGTTAGCCACTCGTGGTAGTAGCGGTAGTAGTCGTAGTAGTAGAACAAGTAAGTAGTAGTACTAGTAGTAGTAGTAGTGGTAGTAGTAGTAGTAGTAGTAGTAGTAGTACTAGTAGTAGTCGTAGTAGTAGTAGTAGTAGTTGTAGTAGTAGTAGTAGTAGTAGTAATAGAAGTAGTAGTAGAGGTGGTAGTAGTCGTAATACTAGTAATAGTAGTAGTAGTAGCAGTAGTAGTAGTAGTAGTAGTAGCAGTAGTCGTAGCCGTAGTAGTAGCAGTAGTAGTAGTAGTAGTAGTAGTAGTAGTAGTAGTAGTATTAGTAGTAGTAGGCGTAGGAGTAGCAGTAGTGGTAGTAGAAATAGTAGTAAAAGTAAAAATAGTCGTGGTAGTAGTAGTAGTAGTAGTAGTAGTAGTAGTAGTAGTAGTAGTAGTAGTAGTAGTAGTAGTAGTAGTAGTAGTAGTAGTAGTAGTAGTTAAGTAGTAGTAGTAGTAGTAGTAGTAGTAGTAGTAGTAGTAGTAGTAGTAGTAGTAGTAATACTCGTGGTAGTCGTAGTGGCAGTAGTAGGTTGTAGTACTCGTCGTCGTCGTCGAAGTCGTAATCGTAGTCCTGGTTGTAGTATAGTAGTAGTAAGTAGTAGTATAGTAGTAGTAGTAGTAAAGTAGTAGTAGTAGTAGTAGTAAGGAGTAGTAGTAGTAGTAGTAGTAGTAGTAACATTAATCGTACTAGTAGCAATCGTAGTCGTAGTAACTGCAGTAGTGACAGAAATCGTAGCAGCAGTAGTAGTAGTAGTAGTAGTAGTGGTAGTAGTAGTAGTAGTAGTAGTAGTAGTAGTAGTAGTAGTAGTAGTAGTAGTAGTAGTAGTAGTAGTAGTAGTAGTAGTAGTAGTAGTAGTAGTAGTAGTAGTAGTAGTAGTAGTAGTAGTAGTAGTAGTAGTAGTAGTAGTAGTAGTAGTAGTAGTAGTAGTAGTAGTAGTAGTAGTAGTAGTAGTAGTAGTAGTAGTAGTAGTAGTAGTAGTAGTAGTAGTAGTGTAGTAGTAGTAGTAGTAGTAGTAGTAGTAGTAGTAGTAGTAGTAGTAGTAGTAGTAGTAGTAGTAGTAGTAGTAGTAGTAGTAGTAGCCGTAATAGTAGTAATGGTAGTAGTAGTAGTAGTAGTTTTAGTAGTAGAAGCAGTAGTAGTGGTAGCAACAGAAGTAGCAGCGGAAAGAGGACGCAGGACGCAGCATAAACGGCGAAGCATCCGAGAACGCAACGACGACTATATAATACTGGGCGAGGGTGATCAAACACCAGCCCTCAAGGAAAACCAAGCAAATTACGGATTAGACTGGACGGGCCTGATCCCAGTTGCTGGGTGCCTGCCTTCCGAAAGCCAGTCCCTGGCTCGCCGGCGGGCAGGGTTAGGGGGCTTCGTGGGGCAGGGCTCACCGAGGGCCTCGATCTTGGCCGAGCCCAGGGCAACTCGGGCCCCGCAAAGCTCACAGAACAGGAAGGACCCTGCCCTGTGAATATGGTGCCCGTCGCACACGAGAAGACTCCCACCCGCCTCCGCACCCAAACTGGCAGCAGTTGCGGCATAGGCAGCCTCCCCCTCCCCCTCGGCATGCTGGCGCCAACCGAGCCGCTCGGCAAGAGCAGCAAGCTGGCGCAGCATCGGCCCAAGCTCACACTTAGCCCCTGGCTTGCGCAACGACTTGGCAGTGGCTGGAGTCCGAGCAACCACCAAACATTGCCTGCACTGCAACGCCGAGGATCCCGGAGCCAGGGGCACGGAATCGTGGGCGACAACTACCAGCCTCGGCCTTGCCTCCTTGGGCGGCCGTGGAGGGGCTGGGGCAGCACCAGAAACATCTGGCCGAGCACAAATAATCTGAACCGCTCGGGCCAGAAACTGGCATGACAACTTGCACTCTTTAATGGCGTCTTGGAGGGACGTGGCCGCAACGTCGGCAACGGCAACATCAAGGGCTCCAAGCTTGGCGAAAAAGTCCACCCATGCATTACCCATGAACCTCCAAATTTCTCCGGCACACGCTCCTTGCTCGATTAACCCCTGCAAACAGAGGTGCGCAGGAATCCAGTGGAACTCGGGGCGCATATCATAGCGAGCACAAGCACGAAATATATTGCGCCAAATTGACGCGTGCGGGGAAAGGCCATGCTCCAGGTTGGGATCCCAACCTTGCCCCTCGTGCACAAACGAAACGTGATCACTAATTATGACTGGAGGCTTGCCTCCAGCAGGCCCCAACGAAACAGCATCGAGCCCAGCCCACCTTTCGGACCGCGGGACCGACTGGAAGCGCCCTGGGAGCCCGCCAAACCTGGCCCTCAAGGGCCAGCCGTCCTCGGAGATCTCGACCACGCTCCAGCCACATCGAGTGGCTTCGGGAACCGCACTGTGCAGCCCCGCCCCGTCAGTGAACCTATACCTACCCCAGGGACCGTCCGCGAGACCCCAGGTAAGCACCGGCGGCCGAGCTAAGGGGGGGGCAGTTGGATGGGGAGCGAGGGGAGCCCGTAGAGGAGAGGAACGCAATCCCAATCAGGAAGACCGACGTTGAAATCGTACCCTTTCTCCCGCAAGGCCTGCCTACGCTCCCAAACATCTTCTGGTAAACCTAAGCTGCCCGCATCCTCCTCCCCAGACACGATGGCACTTGGGCAATCGTAAAGTTGGTGGCTCAATGTGCCCTGGGGGGCCTGGCAGAAAGTGCAAGCAGCGGACGGGGCTAACCCTTCCGCATGCTTGCGGGCTGGTGGCCACAATCCTCCAGACCAGAGCGCGCGGAGCGACCCCTGCCGGGCACCCGCGGGGAGGGCCAGAATCGCAAGGCGCATCGCTCGAGCCCAACAGTACTCGGAGCCCGACGCTTCTGGCCAGTGGAAGGGGACCCTGCGCCAGAGCCAACGCTCCACACCATCGCGCAACACATTGCGGACCTCGCTCGGCGAATATTCATACAGCGAAATATGGTCTCCGAGGTCGGAGGTGAGAAGGTGGGGAGCGGCCATGTTCCACCCAATCCTGCGAAAAGGAGAGGAACACTCCAGAAACTGGCCCAAAGCATTGGCTCCGAGCTTATCCCAGATTGTGCTCCAAGCCATGCTCAACATACTAGGGGAAGTCCTACCATCCCAGAGCCAACTCGCATACCTGGCGACCAGGGGGCATGTGGCGTCAAAAGTGGGATCATACAGCCTGTCCTTCTGCGTGCACGTCAGTGAGGGAGGCCAGGCCACGCCTAGCGCCTACCAGCTCCTCTGCAAAAGAACGGAGTTTCATGAGAGTGGAATCCGTGAGGCCTACTACACCAGCCCCATGGCCACCCGACGGCAAAACCCCCGTGCGCCACAGAACCCTGACCTGCAGACCCCCAGCCCTCTTAAGGGCGCGAAGCCGGCCCCGCCTCCCAAGCACCGCCCCCAACCTCTTCCTCTTAAGGGCTCTGTGGGCGGTGCCTCCAGCAAAGGTGTCGTGGCCAAGATTTCGTGCGGCCCTAAATGCCTGGAGCTTCAGCCTGGCCGCCCTCGACTTCACAGCACGAGCTGCTGCCGTCGAAGACGCAAGATAACCAGACTTGGAGGCCTGCAGCAGAAAACCTAGTTGGCGGGTATAGCTGGCGAAAGCCGTGACCGCATTAAAAACGACCCCAGCGTACTTGGCCAGGCGTCCTATCCACTGAAACGACACATCATCCATGAGGCCTGGGGGAACCACAAACTCGAACTCCCTCTTAAGCCTGTGGAGAGGCCGAAGGAGGAGGATCTGCATGAGGGTGGTGGCGTGCGAGCAGCCCGCCCAAATCCCATGGAAAGACGTGTAGGAAGGCTAGAAAGGAATTAAATCCTTTGATGCGCCGAGGCTGCTGATAGTTACACACCAACATCCACGCTAAACGCAAAGGAAATCCAACAGCAGCAGCCTCGGTCATCACATCACTAAGCAAGACAAGCTCATAACATTTAACCATGTCAATCAAAACTGTCAAACAATGCTGGCCAGTGTTCCGAGCGACCTCAGCCTCTGAATTGTGAGCAAAAGCGCAATCAAGACTGGAACGCCCTGGACCGGAGCCCCACAGGAGCTCACTGCAATGCCTCCCCCCCACTCCACCGAAACAGGCCTCCGAACCCTCCCCCACACCCTAATTAAAGTATGCATGAGGGCTATCAACCTGTGTTCACCAGGCTTGTCCGGCTTCGGCAGCCTCACCAACTCCGTGGCCACCCTTCCTCGCGGCCAGCAGCAAAGCTTTTCGCACAACATGAAGAGGAGCGCCACCGTCTGCAGCGCTTGGTCGCTCAGGTGCCACAGACTGCATAGGGCCAGGCGCCCAGGACCACTGGCCGTCCTGGCAGGAACATTGTGCACAGCAGCGCGGACCTCAACATGCGAAATCGTCGGCAGCGGCTCCCACGACTCCGCCTCGGGCGGTAGCTCCATCCTCATGCAGCCGTGGGTCGCCCAGACCGTGGCTCAGTCATCCAGGCAGTCGTCAACTAGCTCATATGGCTGGCTTCCTGTCCGGGCCGCGTCTGCAGGCTGCACGGCACGGGCCTTGCTGAACCGGTGAGCTTGCGACGTGCCTCTAACGAAGCTGGCCTCGACCCACTTCGTCCAAGTCTTGGCTCGCTCAGCCGCGAAAGCTGCAAGCCTCGAATCACCTTGATGAATAAGCCAGTCGACCATGTCATTGAAAGTGGCGTCGGCGAACACCATCAAACTCTGCTCAAAGAACTCCGCCACGCACGGGTCCACCGCCGAGAACACCCACTTCTGCTTCAGGAGGCGCCCGAAGAAAGCCTCCGTGTTGTGAAGGAGGACGCCGAGCTTGGAGGTCTCCGCCACCGACGGCCCTCCCGCAGCCCTCGCCATTATGAGCTGCGGGATGCGATTGCTGAGGCTCTCGCTGACTCGCCGCAGGTGTCGCGCCCAGCCAGCAGCCACAGCCCATGCGTCAGTCGCAGTGCCCCGATCAGGAGGAGGAGAGGGAGGAGGGGGATGATGATGATGATGATGATGATGATGATGATGATGATGATGATGATGATGATGATGATGATGATGATGATGATGATGATGATGATGAGGAGGAGAGGAGGAGGAGGAGGAGGAGGAGAGGAGGAAGAGGAGGTGGAGGGGGAGGAGGAGGAGGAGGAGGAGGAGGAGGAGGAGGAGGAGGAGGAGGAGGAGGGAGGAGGAGGAGGAGGAGGAGGAGGAGGACGAGGAGGAGGAGGAGGAGGAGAAGGAGGAGGAGGAGGAGAGGAGGAGGAAGAGAGGAGGAGGAGAGGAGGAGGAGGAGGAGGAGGAGGAGGAGAGGAGGAGGAGGAGGAGGAGGAGGAGGGAGGAGGAGAAGGAGGAGGGGGAGGGAGGAGGAGGAGGAGGAGGAGGAGGCGGAGGAGAGGAGGAGGAGATGAGGAGGAGGAGGAGGAGGAGGAGGAGGAGGACAAGGAGCTGACGGCCCACTGCGGCTCCGGCGCGCGCGCGGGCCGGGCGGCCTGTGGCGCCACGCTCACTTCCTCGACCATGCCGCTCACCTCCTCGGGCAGCGCGTCCCGCAGCGCCTCGCCGCAGTCCCTGGGGCTCTTCCTGGGCCGCGGCGCAGCCAGACCTCCGACGATCTGACTGCTGGAGCTGGCGTTCTTGCTCCTCGAGATCGGCCGCCGGGGCCAATTCACGGGCCCCCGGGCCATCAAACTTGAAGCTGGGACGACGAAGTGGCCCGGAGCATGATCGGGACGACGAAGATGAAGCTGGGTCGGGACCTCTTGGGCCTCGCATTGAGCAAATCATCTCGTCGGATGTCTGGGCACGAGGAGAAATGACGGGTCGGACGAAGAGAGGATCAATAAAGGGGTGGGGAGCGAAGCAGCTCCCGTAGCTGCTTTTCCCGGCACTTCCCGGCGAGGCGCCAGAGTACCGAGGGAAACGCCTGGTGGCAGGGCCGAGACCAGCTGCATGCAGATAATTTCGTGCCCTCCCTTTCGTCCGACCCGAGAGGGAGTGGCAGGGAGGAGAGGGAGGCAGAGGGAGTGGGAGGGAGAAGAGGGAGGGAGGCGCGCCAGGCGCGCACGTGCGCGAGCGCCATACCTGACACCCGTCCCCTCACGCCCATCCCTTCCAGTGCACGGACAATGTCTCTATCCTCCGACGGGTGTCCCAGCGGACCTGCATCCCCCAAATGATCCCATCGTGTGACGTGCACTCAGAAAGGGGAGCTGTGTACACTGGAGGAGGGCGGCGCGGTGGCGGATGAGCATGAGGAGGCGGCGGCGGCGGACGGCGCCTTGGACGCATGGTCGTGGTCTCGATGTGAAGTGAAACACATACGACCGCTCGCTTAGCCACAAGATGGCCTCGAAGTGCCAGGGTGCATGGCGGAGGAGAAGGAAGGAGGGGAAGACACGGCAGGAGCAGGAATAGGAGCGGGAGGAGCAGGAGGACCAGGGGAAGGCAGAGGAGGGGACAGGGGGGCGTCGACAACGACAGGGGCGGACTCGGATCCGAAATATGCCCCACGATGGGGCGTGAGCGCCACTCTGAACGGCGGGAGCAAATTCGGATCCTGAAATGGGACCACCGCTGCAGCGGGAGCACCACTCCGAAACATCAGAGCGTTCATATTGGAAACGCAACGCGTGTAACACCTCAACGTTCATCGTCCCGTGCGCTGCGATAAGATACCATATGCGTGATAGGCGGCACCCTATTCATATGTAGTAGATGTGGAGGGGAACACTTTTCCACCACCACTACCATAGGTAGGACGGGGTAGAAGGGAGGATGGGAGGTCCTCCTCCTCCTCCTCCTCCTTCTCCTTATCCTCCTCCTCCCTCTCATACCACTGGTAGTGGTGGTGGGAAACCGGCGCATCATAGCAAAGAGGTTGGATGGGGGGCAAGGTAACATTGAAGAAAATGGCGAGCCAGCCGTATTGCAGCCCGCTCCCCGGGCGCCTCGAGACACCCAGCGCGACCGCGCATCGGGGAATGTGCCTTGCAGCGGCCCGCGAGTCCAAAGCCAAGCGCATGCGGCAATCTTCGCCCCCATCCCCCATCCCCCCCGTAAACAGTCACTTTGACAACTACTCGCACGCCCAAGGAAGAGATATGCAACCGTGGGTCGAAGCAATCTTCTCCAGCCCTGGTCTGCGATGTCCTAGTTGACGGGGCCCTGAGTTGTCACACCTCCCCCCCCCCTCTGGAGCTCACGGGTGGTCCTCACGCCTTATTTCCAGGGTGCCTGCAGATTCTCGATGCGCGCCGCGGCCCCAGAAGCCCTGGGCACTGCAGCACCGTCCTCCTCCCTCCAGAGGGGGGTCAGCGCTTCCTTCCGCCAGACCCCGCTGACCCTCTGCCGGCTCCCGCCGCGGGCGAGCAGTACACTCCTCGATGCCCCTCCAGGGAGAGCGCCGTTGTGGGACGCTCTCGATGGGTGCCGCGGTGCTCTCCCCGCCCCCGGCGTCCACAGGGGAGGCACGCCCTTCTCCCGCTTCTGCTGCTTGAAGAGGCTCATGGCGTCGTTGCACTGGTAGTCCCCGAAGCGCGGGTCCGCGACCGCGACCCTGCGGAGGAGGAGGAGGACCCGGAGCTGGTGCGCTCGGCTCCTGCTGGAGGGCAGGCCGACGCCGTGGCGTCTGCGGTGCTTTCCTCTCGTCGGTCTGCTGCTGCCGCTTCCCTGCCCTGCACCCTGTGGTCTTCTCGCTACACTTCTCCATATGCGCATCGACCCTCCTTCGCGCAGAGCGACCGGCCGACCCAGAGCTCGGATAGTTGTCTCTGCGATTTGGCTCGCAGGCTCGCAGGCGGGCCGATCAGGCATGCCAAAAGGCACCTCTGGAAGGAGCAGCCCGCGACTGGGCGGGAACCCCATGCAGACGCGTCCTCAAACGGAATGCAGACACGGCACATGCAGATATGGTTCTTGATACTTTTACGCCCGAACAAGGAGGATGAGGAGGAGGAGGGGGAGGAGGAGTTGGAGGAGGCGCAACGGCGGAGCAGTGCGTGCGAGCTTGTGCCGGTAACCCTCGGCTCTTCTCGAAGGAAGCTGCGCGCCGCTGCGAGCCTCGGCCACGAAGCCGTGCCCCGGCCCAGATCCAGGGAGCGGCCCGACTGCCAGAACCCCTCCAGAGCCCACGTGCTTCTTTGTTTTGTCAGCGACTTGGCTGTGTCGTGCCTGTCCTTTTTTCTCCAACGGGAGGCAACCGGGCGAGCACACGCGCGGAGCAGTGGCCTGGAAGAGCGGGCTGCAAGTTCCCAGTGCAGAGACGAGCTGGGCCGCTCGTGGTGCTGTTGCGAAGCAAGCCCTTGGCTACAACTCTGCTGGAAGCGAGGGTCATATCTCAGTTCCAGCACCCTCGGGAAATCTGACATGGAGCGAGCCCAAGAGGGAGAGGAGGTGAAGTGGGTCTGACAGGGAATTGAGTTGACGAGGAAGAGCTCCCTCTCCCCCCTCTTCCTCCTCTCCCTCCCTGCTACAGTGCAGGACTGACGACCCCATCTGCAATCAATGACGGCGCCTGCTTTGCAAGCTTGCCCTCCGAACTTTCGATAGCCGAACGGCCTTATAGATACTGACCCGAATCAAAAGCCGGCTGCGTACGGAAGGCTCGTGTCGTGACGACGTCGGCATCGGTTCCCGCCACAGCGCGGATTGCTCAGCATGGAAGGATCGCGGATGCCCCACCATGCGAACCGTTGAATATCTCGGGCGCGCGCTAGCATGGTTCAGGGATCCGTGGATCTTGGATCTGGCGCGTGATCGCCAGATCCACAAATCGGGGATACGACCCCCCGAAACATGCACCCAGTTCCGCCTGATTTGATGACGGAGGTCGTCGATGCTGTATGGAAGCGGGACCCGTCGCTAACCCACGCGCCCAAATCGATGCTCGCGATTTCTTGAATATCGGCCGATTCCAGGCTGGCGGCGTTCAACTTTGAGCGCCCGCACTCAGACCGCGGCGTCGCCAGCACGGCGCAAACCTGCCGTCCAGAGCACTCTCGCGCGCAGAGCGAGGACGAGAGTTACCAGGAACCCCCGTCTGCCTGCGCCTCCCTCCCTTTTCATACTTGCCCTCCTCCTGCTCCTCCTCCTCCTCCTCTTCTTCTTCTTCTTCTTCTTCCTTCTCCTCCTCTTCTTCCTTCTCCTCCTTCTTCTCAGTCGAAAGTGAGCCTGGTAGCTCAAATATGGCATATAGCCTGGCAAATTGCATCCATCGCTCTGCTGTGAAGGTACAGTATGAGGGGTGGATGAGTAAGATAGGATAAGATCGATGTAATGATCTTTCCAGCACATAGCGAACACTCGCGGTGTCCGGGCAAATAGGGCGCGCGTGCCTTGGGCCAAAGGCAACGGCGCGCGAGCTATGCTCCCGATACTGTAACATCTCCCAAAGAGCTACCCTTAAAGTCGGGAGGGGAGGAGACGGAGAGCATAGTCGCACGCAAAGATCGCGCGCACGACTGTTTGCAAAGAAAAGAAAACAGTGCGTACAGTCTGGTCAAACACCAGACTGTAAGGCGAGTTTCCTCGCAAAGTATTTCACGCAAATACAGGACAGCCCCTTCAAACAATGAAGGGCTATCGGCTCAGTTAGAGGTAAGCCAAAATTAGGCCATACCTCACCAAGCAAATGTGTATTAAGGCAAAGAGCCTGAGTTGTACGAAGCCGGCTCGTTGCCAGGCGTGAAATATAAGGCTCGTTTCCGAGCAGCTAAAGGGGCGCCTTTATAGTAGGCGCCCGTGCTGGCAAACTGGACCGCGAGGGCAACAAGGACATACTAAAATTGATTAGACTTAGGTTTGTCTCTGTCCTCGGGACCCCGAAAGGGAACAAATTGCTTCACGTCATACTTAAATGACTGAGTGCCTGACATCACTTCCAGAAGCAGCTCCCGATCGATGCTTCCCTTTGTATGCCCATCTGCGGTCATATCCCTAGTATCACACCATTGCACATTATGTACTATACCTATATCCATGAGCTCACGTATCCAGCTGATATGTCCAAGCAGAGTCCGTTCTGTAGGTATTTTGAGATCCCTGCTTGATAAAGATTTGTAGACGGACTCGGCGTCTATGGTAAGAGAGACTTTGATAGCAAGGCCTCCAACTTCACGCATGTCTCGTAGTTGTCGTGGAGTCAAAGCCCCTGCCTTAAGCTCGTGGAGAGTAATGAGCGTAGGGTAACACTCATCAAGGTTATGTGCGGCTGCAAGTGCCTCCGCAGCATAACTGGACCTCACCTGTAATCGGTGTGATTTGCATAGTCCGTCACAGAGGTGAACGACGGACTTGCCTTGGGGCGAGTTTCCTCGCCGTAGTACGTTGGCCCCGCGTATGCCGTAGCCCTTGGTCTCGTCATCCTCCTCCCCGGTAAGCTTCCGATACCCCGAATCGCTATGGATGTCAACTTCATTCGTCGGCTTCATCCGAGGGAAGGTGATACGTTTCGGGCTGCTGATCAGCTTTCGCGTCACAGCATTCAAACGTCTGACTTGCAAATTGGTGGGCTCTTGAATTTTCTGAAGAGAGACCACATATACCATAAGCCAGATTTGGGTAAGAAGGGCATAGGCGAGGGCTCCTCGCAGGCTGACGAACATGTCGGTAATGAGTTTCGTGGCTTTGGCGTCGGCCGCCGCTCCTGTAAGTTCTGGGTGTGTGATAGGACGTAGTTGTTTAATATACTCGTCCTGGTCCATGATCACATCTCCCTGATCATTCTTAGTGTAGCGAACGGCGCAGTTCGTATCTGTGTGCTTGTTGAGCTTGCATTTGCCAAATACATTTTCGACACGTTGTACATAGTCGTCAATATTTTTCTCTAGAGCTGTCATGTTAATATCATCGACATGTTTTGCCGTCAGAAGGTCTTGGCTGAATTCAAATTCAGGATCGTAGCTGGTCGGTGCAAGTCCTATAGCTCGTGTGGTCGTACGAAGTTTGAGAGAGAACGCTCTTGGAGCGTCCTTGGTACCCGTTCCTGGTTTGAGGCATCTAAGACAGCGTCGACTTTCGTCGTAGGATGAGAAGCCGGGTAAGGTACGAAGTACCTGAGCGCTTCCTGGTGGAAGAGTAAAGCAAACCATGCGAGTTTCCTCGCCGGTGGCATGGGCAAGTTCCTCATAGGTCAAACCTTTTAGGAACGCCTTATCGATATCCATGGATGCTAAGATCCACTCTGGATGACATGCCGCTTCACTTGCCAGGAGTCGTTGGGACTGCCTTCGGGCGGTTCCCGAGAATGTTTCCACATCAAAAGCCTCAGTATCCATAAATCCACGAAGGACCAGTCTGAGACGAATGGTTTTAACGTTCTCGGTACCCATCTTTACGAACTTCCACTTGTATACGTATCTGGATGTCATGATGTTGGAAGCTTTGGATAAATCGTACATCTCAAAGCATCGGTTATAAATCCAGATTTTGAGCTCAGTATATAAGGCTTCACTAACCTCCTTTGGATGTGCTGCTATGTCGGCTTTGGTCAGTAAATCATCTTCTTTGACGACCACAGCACGTTTAGCAGCAGAGGATACATATACTCTCATCGTTGCGACCATATCGGTATCGAGCTGTGCAAGTTGAGTCTGATCCAACACTATTTTTGACATTTCTGATGTAAAGCATAGTTCAACGTAAGGACCGTATTCATCACTGTCTAGAGAGTAGCTCTCGTCGGTTGTGTTCGAACAAAGAGATACTAGACAGGACTCACATGATTTCGGCTCGTCTCCGAGCATATCTGATGATGTAATATCATCTTCGTCCGCAAATGCTGAAACCAAAACACATTGGTCGGGCAGCATGGTTGTTGGGACGCAATAAAGATAATCATCGGTAATCGTCGTAGGATGAAGGTCCATACGTAGCTCGTCGTACCACTCTTCCAGCATCATAGCTTCGATATTGTGTTCCTCATTTTCCTCATAGATTGTCGACAGACGGCCTTCGCTCGGCGATGAAGCATCTGGTGTGTCTGGAGAAGGCCTGTTTCCAGGCGACTCGTGTTCTCCAGACGTGTTGCTTGGATGCTGATATTTAGCCAAATCGTCGTGAAATCCTAAGGAAGGGACACGTGAAGTCAAGCATTGAATAAGTCTGGAGTGAGTGCTACCAGTGATCTGAGAAATGTTTAAGCCAGTGCCCACGCATTCGTAATAGTGGAACGCCGGGCTGATGTCGTTGTCATAGTGGATCAGCGTAGACCCGGTGGCGTACTTTACTGCAGGTAGGCTTGACACACTCTTAGCCAATCGAACTGCTACTACATGTTCTACTCGGAAGTAATTTCGTACGAGATACTGTAGTGCTAAGTGTACGCGCGGGTGAAACTTGCTGTCGTCTGACAGATTAAGGTTTCCCTTGTAATCGGGGATATACCCGAAAACTTTGGCAGGTTTCCCTGCGCTGAGGTGTGCCACATAAGCAAGGACGGTTTGCATGGCCATATTATCCATGCCAAGTTCCCGTGTGAGGAGACATTCGATGTATAGTGTGTGACGAGCATCAGGATACATCACAATTACCTCACGAGATCCTGCCTTGACAACAATATGTCCTCTTTCAGGCACATTTCGGATCACCGGGAATGGGCCATTCCAGCCTCCATGGTCGTCCTTGGTGGCAGTAGGTCGGTGGTAGTCGACCAAATCCCCTGATGAGTAGAGGCGAGCACCATCAGGAGTCGTCTTAGCCCTAAGAGCCCGA